CTGCTGAGAACTGCTGCAACTGCTTCTTTGTATCTCATGACTGTAACCAATATGTAAATTTAATTTTATTTATTAATTTTTTAAACTCAACAGGGTCTCACACAAGAAGCAGAGCCACTCAAAAATAAGATTAAACACTTTGCTGCTGAGAACTGCTGCAACATTCTGTTTGCTCAAATTTGTTGACAAATATTTTGAGGGTTTTTTCCTTCTCAGACGTTTTTATTGCTGGCTTCCACTATTAATTAAAAAACTAATAAGACACCTAAATAACAAGAATCAATCCAAGTTAAAGAAAAAGGTGCTATTTCCATTATTTCACCTTTTCCTTAAGAACCAGATCCCTGAAGCCATCTCAGCATAATGTTGCTTCTAAAGGGGAAACATGACACAGCTAAATTTACAGCCTTAGTAAAAAAAAAAAAAAAAAAAAAAAACTAAAAATCATCACCTCCAAAGGAACTCAAGTGAAAATATGAGCTAAAAACTAAACAAAGGATTTGACTTCTAAGCTAATCTAATTTTGGAAGGTTAATTTTGGCTGAAGGTAACAGCAATATTTCAGCCAGTTCAGTGTCTACAATACTTTCCCCAGACAGTTTTAAGGATTGGACAGCAAAATTGAATTATGCAGCTCATTCAAGATTTATTTCTGCCTCCTGCATTAACACCTATCATTGAAATCCTCACCAGCAGACATCAGGAAGTGAGAAGGACAATTATATTATTAATTTTAAATAAATTGAGCATGTCTATCTTTTAAAGAGGTTCAAAGTGCCAAGAAAAAAGAAGAGCAGAGGCGATGCCAGGAAGATGTATATGCTTCTAGAGAACTTGACACAGGCTCACATTACCATACTGTTAAAAGACTGACTTTTATTCCCTGAGCTCTCTAAGTGGCAGCAAAAGACAACACATGACTCCTACTGACTGCTGAGCTTTATTTCTAGATCACAGGCTATTCTGAATTGGAAGTGATCCACAAGGATCAAGTCCATCTCTTAATGGAATGGCCAGCTTGGGGATGAAACCCACAACCTTGGTGTTACCAGCACCACACTCCAACCAACTGTGGATCCCTAAAAACTCCACCAGAGATTTTGCTTGTTTCTCCCTTTGCTGTCTGCAAACCAACCTGGGGAAATGCAGCCCTGAGAACAGGGACGAGGAAACAGGGAACAGAGACAAGGAGACAGTCTGAGGCTTGGGAGAGTTTGTGTTTTCCTTTAAGCAACAACCTGTTCAGATTTTGTTGGCATGAAAGTTGTTTTTTCCTAAACACACTGGTGACAGCAAGGGCAAGAGAGAAAGTCATGAATGCAAGGGTTCTGACCAAAGAGTCAAGAAACACAGCTCAATCTGCTATGTCAGCTTAGACTCCTGCCCAGTTTCTCTGGCTGCACAATGGGAAAACAGGGCTAAAAATAAATCTTAATTACTACAGCAAAGCATGAGTCTAAGAGAAGAAGAAAAAAGAATAGTCAGGGGAATGGTATGATACAGAAACACAGTATTCATAGAAGCTGGGATTTCAGGAAAATTTCCTTTTAGTGTCATTCACAGACCTAGCAACTCACCAAGGAAATAAAGATACTTTGCAGTTAAATTGCAGATACATTCACTGACTCAAGTATTTCTTCCTTTACAAAGCTTTTCCTTAAAAAAATACGAAAAAGTGAATATACATCATCTGGATTCATTTTAAAAAAGGATCCTATACGCTTACCTACTGATTTCTATTTGCAAGAAAGGATAGATACACAATAACTTCTGTTCATTAACTTTACTCAGAAGATTTGTTGGCTGTGTCACTTAAGGCAGATTTAAACAAGCAAGGTTGGCTCTGAAGTGAAATTGCAGTCTTTAAACTGCAAAACAATAATTTTACAGTTTTGCCCTGCAACATGTTTCTGATGAAAAGCTAAATTAATAGATTGCAATAGGGTATTTTGGGTAGATAATTTTAAATGCAATTTAGATGCTTTCTCTTAAGATGTATAGGTAAAAATTTGCACATTATTTTCCAAAGCTCTATGGTAATGTCAAATACAGTTCAAAAGATTTGATACTATACCAACAAACACCAAAGCAAAAGCATTTACAGTGCAACTACATATCATGCTGGAGATCAAAGTTGAATTCTCAGGTTCATCTCACACAAAAATACTTCATGTAATGTGCTTTCCTACAAACAAGGCAATGTGAAGCTTTCAGTTAGTTAGCATTTGTACCAGCTAACATAAATAAAATAACTTAATGTTATACAAAAACCTTGAACTTATTGTGATTTAAAAATCACAATCCTTATAATTTGGGGCTCTCTGGATTCTTTTACTCCAAGTAACTTCACCTCCATTATGATTAAATAGGCCCACTTCTAAACCCAGGCTGAAATAAGGTAATGCTACATCTCAATCTTCAAACAAAACAAACTCCACAACAGCCAGTCCCCCTGATTCCAGTTGCCTGGAAAGGTACCAAAACCCCCACTGTTCTTCTCAGTACTTCTATTGTGGCAAGAATCCTAGAGATGATATCTAGGAAAAATGAAATTCTTCCTAAACTGTCTTGCAAAGGGACAAATCTAATTAGGCACAAGGAACTGCAGTTCCTAAGAGATGACCTGTGGGAAGCACTGAACTACCCAAAGCTATTTCAGTGCAAGAAGTTCAGAAAAAATGATATGGAGTTCCAGCCAATTTAAGATGCATGAATACCTAATGTAAACAATGTGTAAAGAAGAGCAGAGCAATTTCTTTATCACCACCACTAGGACAACCGCTCCACTAATAATCTTACATCACAGAATATTTGTTCAGAACACTTACTGGACTAATATTCAGGCTGTCATTTATTTTCAGTCAATAAAATTAGCTCAATAAAATTGGTCTGCTAGCTGTACTTTGCTTTTCCTAAAAATGCTGAATTAGCCATTAGCTCTTGACTAAGCAAGTGGAACAGCCAGACAAGCTTTTATACCCTACTACAGCTATACCAACGCATAAACTATGAAGCTGGAAAGAGATTGCAAAGGGTTTTCAGCAAATCAAGGAACAGGATCAGGTGTGAAAGTCAACAAGCCATAATTCTATTTGATACCAAGGTCAAACACTCTCACCTTCCACCTGACCAAATTCCCATGTGATAAGCACACTACAGTCCAAAAGCCAAGGATCCAAGTCCCTCACAGAGACAATCCCTCCATTTACCACTCTCCAGTTACACCACTGATGCACGATCAGGGCTCACACTGGACTGAGGGCCACAAGGCATGAACAGGCAGTATTTGAAACAGAACTGGTGCCTGGGCCATCTGCCACTATTGTGGCATGACTGCCACTTTCACAGCACAACCCAAGACATTCCTTGAGCCTTCAAAGCATTACACGACTTTGGAAACCATCCCTGCTTAGGTGGTTTCTCTCACTCTTCACCAAGGAGGCTGCAGCTGTGGGAGCTCTCTGCCTATGGGCAAAGCCAGAGCAAACCACTGCAAAATATGCAGTGAAAAGAAACACTGTGGTTAGAGATCTAGACATCAGGAGGTTTTGATCAGCCTGTTGCATTGAATTCCTCATGGCAAGGATGGCAACATTTGCTTGGCTCCTCATCCTCTTTATCTAACTTGCCCTTAGCCACAGGGGATCTTCAGCTCTTCAACACTGTGAGTTGTCAGGACAACTTAGTGGAATGGCCAAGGGGCATACAGCAAAACATATTCATGTGAACAGTTGCCATATATTCTTCTGCTTGCAAAATATATAGGTAATAAAGTTTTAACAACCTTAGTTAAAATAGATACAATATAATTTTAAATTAACACCTGGCTGTAGAGCTGTACTACATGGCCATGATCAAAGCACTGCTATACACAGCAGTTTTAACATTAAAATCATTACAATAAAATCTGTTACTAAACCAATGAAATGTCAGAAAGATTAAGAGATTAATTTTTTACTGGTAAAAATATGCAAATTGAGTACTAGACTGGAATATGGGCATGCCTTTATGGTGTCTGTCAAGGATGTGAAAGAAAAAAATAATTCATTTTGTACTTCATGTAAGACAGCCTGACATCAGAAGTCAGTGGGAGGATGTTTTGTTGGTAGATCAAAGAAAAGGTGAAGTACGTAGAAAATTCAAACCACCTAAGAAAATATTCCAGTTGTAAGCAATCTACTTTTATATTAATTTCTCTAAAGCTCTACCTAATGCTATTTTAGCTCTACAAAGAATATAATTCTTAATGACTTGCATGATCAAGTAATCCCCATGTTTCTGCAATATAGTTGCAGGGTGTATAGCTTAGTCTTTGATCATGCCTCTTCTTCTTCCCCAAAACCCCACCTCCTGGCCCTGGGCTGCAGTAAAACATGCATTAACATAGAAATATAAAACCTAACGTGTGACAGGAGTTCAAAATCATGCTATCCACACAGCACTGTAGGACTCCCAAAATAACTCAAACCCTCAAACTCGATAGCTTGTCCACAATAAAATTAATTTTTAAAATTAACTGAAAGAAAAAGAATATGTTCACAAAGCTGGGTTACAAAATAAAACTCAAAGATGCCTAAATATCGCTTTAGTTCTGTCATGAGATATTTGGATATACTATGATAAAATGGTACATCTCCAACTAACAGATTGCATTTAAAATAGCAGTATTTTTTTTAATCTTGTCTTGCACAGAGACCAGCTGTCTACCGTGAACACTTACCTCACCCACCACCTTTCCCCCTTAAATAAATCCATCTCCTATGAACATCTCTAAGAGTTCCTTTTTTTTTTTCCTAGATTAGGAGTAATTTATTTTTTAAGAGATGTTTCCTTACTTTGCAATGTACTGCTGCCATCTCCTGTGTTAAACGAGGCAGCAAGTAACTTGATACTTACTAACAGGCTATTTAATGTTGATCATATGGGAATGGCTTCTGTTGCTCCAGCAGGGAGTACTCCTCCTAAACACACAGCAGAAGCCTGTAAAAAATTGGTATTACCTCTAAGTGACACCGCCGTTCTGCAATCACTCGCTCATCCTTGTTTCCAAAGAGCTTCTTTGGAGGGAATTCTAAAGTGGCAACCTGGAAGACATTAAAGGATGAATCAGCATCAGAAGTGACAAGCTCAAATGAGAAAATTCTGTTTAAATTAAAAAGCAACTAGGAAGAAGAAACTGCCAAATATTCATGACCGACTATACGCTATTAGTAAATATCACATTCTACATTTCTATGAGGTTATTGCAATCTGCTCTGTAGTATTGCTAAGATAAAGATGCATTTTGTCATCAGAGAGTGACTGAAAGAAAATTTAGGAATTGGACCACCACTGTTTGCCCAAAGAAATATTAAAAATTTGCAATCCAAATGTGCTGTATCATATAGGAAGTAAACAATTTCTGCAGGAAAATGTATCTTAAAAGACTGCATTTAGTCTCTGAAAATCTGTGGTCTCCAACCGTATGGTAGTGTAATTTGTCTGGTTTCACTTATATTCTATCATGAATGTAAGATCATTGGATCTAAGAACTACCACTGAAGTCATGCTCTGGGAGATGCATTGCTGGACTACAGCCAACACCTGACTCGAAGCTTTTGTTGTGCCCTGAACTACCACTTCTTGTAACTCAGCTGCAGCTCAATGCCATTCAAACGTGTGTCCTGCTGGGAGCTGACAGCTTCAACTTCTGAAGAGAATTCACACATGCAGGCAAAATCCTGCTTTATCACACTGAAAAGAGAAAAAGGCAATGGCACAACAGCTAAAAACAACTATTCAGATCTCTACTTTTAGTTCTTCCAGAGAGGCGTTCAAAACTATCTCCTTATTTCTTTTTGCATCCTAAGGGGGAAGGGGGCCAGGGAGAGAGAAAGAGAGGGAGAGAGAGAGAAGGAGGGAGGAAAGTGCCTCCCCTTTTGTATACCAATAAATAAAATACTTGAACTAATTAAAGCCAGCTATGTCTGGAAAACACACTAAAGACTCAAGAGTTGGTAACAAGTACCACTGAACTTGGTCTGCTAAGCCACGGCTGGGAACAATGCAGGAGAAAGCAGGTCCTCTCCCCATAAATTGTGCTTGCACTTGAAGGTAAATCAAACCCATTTTTTTCCCAGCACTCACATCATGAGATAGAATAATGCAATCTCCCACTGGAACTGCTGGAGTTGTTTTGCAGGTGAAATCCCTTTGTAAAATTGCCTCCTGCATTAATTCCCCAGGTTGTTTGATGATATTGAACCAGTAAAAAAGATGCATCATTTTCTAGTCTATCAGCACATACAGGACTGCAGAGAATTTACAGCTGGTTACAGGGAGCAGACATACACTGATTTAAATTGAGGAGCTCCATTATTAACATCGAATGTAAGCGTCTTTAAAATACAGAGGAATTCTGCAATACAAATGATTTATTCCCACTCTCTGGTTCAGCTCCAACTTTGATAATGTTAAAGAAATGTCTAGACATCTTAAAATGATAATAGTGATGTGGAGCACCAGAGAACATGGAAGAGATGTCTGCTCTCCATCAATCTTGCCAGTATGTCCCAACTATATTCCTCAATTTTCTCCAACCATATTCTTCTCAGTGTGCCTGCTTCTTCACGTTGGCAGGACAAACAGTACACAACCAAACAGTATCACATTATAATGTCCTGGGGACTTATTTTCACTGTATTACTCTCTTCTTCACCTATAAATGATTCTAAGTGCTAATATTTTCAAGGACTTCAAAATCCCACATCTGCAGAAATTGCATTTTACTAAATAGTACTGCATCATGACACTACCAGGAACAACTACCACCACCATCCCCTCCTGGCCGTAGGAGATTGTTTTTTATATTTATTTGCTAATAAATGCTTTCATTATAGAATTTTAAAATAGTGTCTATTAAAAACCAATTTGCACAATGAACCTATCACTACAGCTTCCTCAGACCTACTCTGTGGAGTCAAAGCATGGTCTTAAATCAGGAAAAATTTCCTTATCTAAATTAAGTTCCATCTGAACAGGACTTTGGGGACAATCCTACATAACTTTGGGATGAGCAAGCTGTTTTCCTAAGGTCTCTGGGTGTATCTTAGGAGAAAACCAGTTGTATTTTATAAAACCAATGTGTTTTGTTCTGTTTTGTTGAACAATTTCAAACAGAAATAGCTACTCACATTGCTTTAACATTTCTTAACTCCCAAGTCACTACCATGCATATATCTCTGAAACTAAACCAATTAAAGTCCATTACTATGTCATGAATTTAATATGCAAGACAAAAGTCTCTGCCAGTAAACTTTGCTCTGCAATGTTCAAAGTCATAACACGTACCCATATGAAAATCATGAGCTTATTGCTGGTCAAGAATTAGGGATCTGCATACTTTGTACGTTTAAAAGCCACCAGAATGTCAATGTGCCAAATTATTCTTGACATAGATATATAAAGTTAATATGTTTGTAATATGCCAGTGTTGCCAGTGTATGTATAGAATATACCTATTTATACATTTATGTCACTTGGAAGGATTTTTTATCCTGCAGAGGTATGTTATAAAGGACTAATCAATTACTGCAGATGGCATCTCTACTGGGCCAGATGCATAAGTTACACAAACCTCAGGCCTGCTAGAACATTTCTGTGTCCCACACTTTCCCAGTGTTTCCTGGCTCCTCTTTTAACCAAATTATTAGCAGATGGCTATCTCACAAATAAAGTACAAAGACCATTTCCATCACACAACAAATGTCCACCCATCTACGTGACAGAAAATGCTCCAGCCACAAATTTTTCATCATCACTTCAGCAACTCAGTCATTTCAATGGGTTCTATTCCACTACATGCCCACAGTCTAATGCCCACCAAAATGAGAAAGAGACATTCAAAACTCTGCAGGCTTGAGTTTCAGGCTATCCAAACACTTCATGCAAACACAACAGCACTAGTTCCCACCTACTTTTCAGCTTGAAAATTATCTTTGCAACATAAGAAATGGACGTATCCATGCAGTGAGGTGAATTGTGCAGTTCTCTATATGACTGAAATTTCAGTGTAATAGGAAGGAGTCCATTGTACTATATTTATATAAAAACACACTATTAGTATATTTACCAGAGATAATATGCTTATTATACATACATATACACATAAACACACATACACACACACCACCCCCCCATGGATCTTTGATATTCTGCCTTTATTTAATGCAGGGAAAAATACATTGGTGCAAGAGCCCCAAAAATATACAGAGTGACTATAAAACATTCTTATCTCATCATAATTTTGGTTCCTAAAAAAATGAATTAAAAGAAGCTCAGCAACATAAATACACCAAAGTAATGATAAATGTTAAAATAACTCTCTATAAAAATCCTCTGTCCTAATGTACTATTTGATATACAGGCTCTGAACATAATTGTGTGAGATTCAGGAAAGCAAGGTTCAGTAGAATTTTGAGGTTTATTTATACTTTATTCATTTAAGCCAAAGTGCAGTAGCAAATACTTCAATAAATATTGCAAATTTTGCCACTAGTGGTGCTACAGCACCTTTATGAAACTGTACAGTAACTTCAGTGGAAATAATCACTGTTACAGGTTAATGCACACAGTACAGTATGTGACTGAGCAGCATTTGTCCTGGAACTGAAATATGTAAGAGATCTTGCAGGTATGGATTTTGCATCAAGATGCTTGCCTTGGCTCAAACACTCAAAGGGAATTTCACACTATCCAGATTCAGGAGTATAAATTATTCTTTCAGAATTAAATGTTTGTATACCCTCTGGCCCAAATTAATTCTTCAAGGGTCTCACCTTGACAACGAGATGAATGTTTTGCGACAATGCAAGGCGTAACCGTGGAACTGGACAGGCAGTAAGGGAAATTATTCTCCTTCCATGGAATTTCTGAAGCACATTTCTCCCTCCCTCTCCCACTTCCTGCAGTGGCAATGGAAGCGCTTGGCAGACAGTCTTTTTTGGCAGAGATGTTTTGTCGTTTTCTAGGGCTGCTGATGAGGTGATGTATTTTCTGTCAGGGGAAATTAAGAGGCATATTCCCCAGCCTGATAGGAAGAGAGGGCTTGAATGATTTCCTGAGAAGCTTCTGTATATAGCGTGCAAGATTTCTAATTTTTATTCTGACAGCAGAAGCATGTCCCTACTAAAATTAATCACTGCATCCCTGCAATCCAAATTTCATTATATCCATAGGAGTGCACACACATGCATACTTGTACCATGGGCAAGGCTGGGACTGTGCTTAGACTCAAAAGGCAAAGGCAGATCATATATTTTATAATAGTACACAGAGACCTCAAGACTGCATATCAGCACTCCTAATGTCTTTCAGACATTAAACTTTTTACAGTTAATGATGTTTATCCTACCTGGCAACTGTTGCTAGGCAGTAGCAGTTGTAGAGAGAGGCAAACAGTAATTTGCAATTTACTCCCTAATTTCTTTACAATAAATAAAGGCCATGTTTTATTTCTAGGTCTAGCATTACTTAGAGGCATGTTATTTGTCTGTCTCAGCAATATTATCTGTAAGAAACAATACTTACCTGCCACAATGGAGTATCTGAGTTAGTACAATCAAATTTAGACAGTATTAGGTTCAGTCCTCAAGCAGAGAGTGCTTCGTACCCAGTACATGTTATTCTGGTAAACTTTAAAAAGCTAGAATGGATTCCTCTTCTCCCACATTCCAGTCAGGAGACTGGTTTTTGGCAGGTATTTAATGCTGGTAAGAGCAGATGGCAGAACAGCAAGTGACCCTTTATTCTGTCACCTATTCTATCTTACATTCAACTCTGACCTTAAGTTTCTGGGAACAGCACATACCTAACAACACCTATTTGGAAGCAAATCCTTTTAAAGTGAAACCAGACATCATAGTGTTCAACTACTGAGCCCCAGGGAGAGATGTGAATTTGGAGACTGGCATTTTGGAAACCAAGATAGTGAAAATGAAGGTTCCAATATCATGAAATGCTCTGCCTGGGATGGGGTGTACTCTCATTTCAGAACCTTTATGAAAAATAGTCATGAGCATTTGAAGGGTGTCCTTTAATTTCTATTATAATCTGTTGGAGACTTTTCACTGACAGTATGTCTGCTTGGGGACCTGCTGGATTTCATTCATTTCAGGAGTTTTATGGTACAGCAGAACAGAACATGTTAATGAAAACTCTTGTACAATACTTTGCAGATGATATTTCAACACATAGTGGACCAAAGCAAAATACCACATAATACAGCCATGTAGGCTTGTCACTTCTGAAACATGAAATTCTTCCAAGTGTTATGCTCCCTAAACATTAAAAAAATTCCATTTTCTCACATCAAGCAAAAATCTACAGGATTGAAACATCTCATTATTTTTGGCTGGTACAGTCTATGTTTTAGTGCCTACAATAAGGTAAAAGACTTTTTAAAGAAGAAAAACAGGGCAGACATTGATAGAGTCTGAGTCATCTTTAACCTTTCATCTCAAATTCTCTTTTTACTTCAATGTTTTGATACATTTAAATGGGGGGGAAAGGGGGAAAAAAGAAAATTAAGGAAATGCTAACTATTTAAAAACTCAGTTATCTTTCGTTCTCATGTTACTTTTACAATTCTGAATTTTCTCATTTTTCAAAGAATAGGTCTGACTTTTGATCCTTTGCACCAGAAATTTCTGTCACAGATGAGAAAAATCAAAGAGAAGAACATGGCATGGTTTTGTAGCCACTGTGGCTGCACCTGACTTGATTCTGCAGGAAGTAATGAGAGAAAAAACTCCTACTTTTAGCTTTTGAAGTTTAAACAAAGTAACTTAAGCCTCAGTATCTCAATATGTACTAAGACTTCCAGAGTCTAAAGAAACTAGACAGAAGCTGTATTTTTAACTAGGAACTTGCACCAAGTATTTAAGGATTTGTCAACGTGAAAAAAACAAAACCAAAAACAAACTACCACAAGCCTAATTCCTATATTTTTATTTATATTTTGTCTGAAATCAATTACCTTTTCTACACAATTTCATAAGAAAGCAGTAGGCAAAGGTAAAAAGTTAACATTTACTGGACAGATTAAAGGCTGCTTTATAAATTCTGAAAACAATCAAATGGAGACTGAAATAATTTGCTATACTATCCACTAAAATGAAAACAATAAAATAACATATAAAAACACCTAAGTCATATTTTCAGCTGATATAGCTCAAACTTTAAAGTTGAGTGAAGAAACCTCTAAACTTATTCTCCTTTAAATAAAATAGAAACACATTGTGTAATTGTGTAAACCCTTCAGTGCTCTCCAAACATATATGCTGCAGGTAAGTCATGCCCTCAGAGGAGAGAAAGATTAAAGATTATTTTCCATTATCAATTAATCAGGGAGAGGGAATATCCAGGGAATTATTTTCTGGATATGCAGCTTGACACCTATCTTTCCTCTTCAGTTTCTAATACTTTTCTCTTTACTTTTTCCATCTCTCCCAATATGTTCTTCCCCCACTTCCCAGCTTGTCTCTGTTTCACACAAATATTATGCTTCCCTCCATTCCTGCATGACCTACCTAATCCTTTTCCTTACATTTGCAATCCTCCCTTTCCTTACATTTGCAACCTGCCAGAAGGGGAGAGGGATTTGATATTCTCAAGAGGCATCCAAGGATCTGAAGTGTACCCATATCACTCTTCTAATGGAGTGAACTCCCTGGAGAAGGCTGAACAGCAGCAACCAAAGTCACCATTTATTATAACAAACAAGGGTAATTAACCTCCTAAAGTGAGGAAAACTCAAATGACCAGGAAATAGGAACAAGAAAAAGGATGTAAGCAACCTTCCTCCTACACAAAGGGTCTCTGCAGAGGGGTCCTCAGTACCAGCCCAATCCTTCACTGTCTTTGAGAGGAGCAAGCTCTGCTCCCGAGGTATCTGTAGTGTTTCTGAAGCTGAGGAGCTGCTTTAGGCCCATCCCTGCTGTGTCCCAGCTCCCAGGCTTACAGCTCTCTCTTGTTTTCTCTCCTTGCTGCTACAGGCACCAGGGCCTGGATCTCACTCCAACACACACAAGGGAATAAGCATCTCCCTCCTTCCTTGGGTAAGTCTACTCTGAAAAATCTTAAATAAATTGGTTGGCAAATACTTCCCTTCTGACAAATGCAAGAGATTGCACCAACATACTAGAGTATGGGGGGTTGGGGGTTTTTTTGGGGTTTTTGCAGCCTGGTATTTTCTCTACACAATTTATGCCACAATTTGGTTTCTAGTCCCTTCACAGCACAGCTTTTTCTCTTCAAAGAAGCTGCTTTGCCCCACATACATGAGAACATTCTTTTCTTTCTGCTATCCATCCTTTTTGCTCCATGGCAAAGGTCTACCTAACCACAGAACTGGTTTAACTTTCTCATTTCTGGCTGGCAGGGGCAACTCCTGATTTGCACGTTGCTTTGTGCTTGGCCCCACTGTGACCTGGCCAGCAGCCCAATGAGCCAGGTCTGTTTTATCCCTCCAGCACACATCCCACTGAGGTCAGAGTGCACTGGAGACCTTCCTAGGGTTAACCTACCAAGCAGGCAATTTGACAACTTCTCCACTTTACTCAGACTGGTTACAATTCCTTGGTTTTTTCCTACTTATCTCACTGGAACACCATGCATATTTATATCTGTATCTACAGCTATCTATCTATCTATCTATCTATCTACCTATCTATCTATCTATCTATCTATCTATCTATATCTTAGTATCAAGAAGCACAAGCACTTACATCTCCTCCCATAAATACATGCAGTTCTGTTGCAAGTCAGGATGCTGTGACGAACCCCCAATAAACTGGTATTCACCAATAAATGAGCATATTCTCAGGACACACAAGCTCTCACAGCTCTGCTCTCTTTAGTTCTGGGAAATTCTCTTTGAACTTTCAAGATCTTTTGCCAGTTATCTCCCCCAGACAGGCATAATTGTTTCTCCAAAGAACATTTCAACTCCGTCTGTCCCACTTAAGAGGGACAAGAACATAAAAAGAAAAATTCTCCTCTGAACCACCCTGAAACCTCCCTATGATGAAAAATGACCAAATAGGATTAGACACCAAAGCTTTCTCACTTTGAATCATGTCTAGCTGTCCATCAAACAATCATCTGCAATTATCAAAACAGTTTGAGAGCTCTCATATCCATGTTCCTCCTTTAAACCAGCAAGATGACCTAGACTTAATCTGCAGTTTTGGAGCTATGGTGAGATGTGGAGGCTTTGGTTTATCAGTGTAATTTTAACTCCATTTAGTTTGCCTCCTTCTACTGAGAAAAATCAAATTAACTGAAGCCAAAGAGATTACCTTGCACTACAGGAGTATTTTTCTTAAAGCAATTCTAGACTACTCTGAATAACAGCATACCAAATTAGAGCCATAAACAAGAGTCCATATAATATTTGACAAATTACTTTATTGTTTGGCCCTTTATAAGCAGTACAGTAACACTTAAATACAGAATATCTATGAAAATAAGCAATAGGATGTAACAAAGTTCATGCAAACCTTGCATATTTCTATAAAATTATGCAGTTTGGAGATTTTAATATTTTATAAAAATCAGAAGCTAATATAGCCAGGGCATCTTTCTAAATAGAAACCAATACCTGTATAGCTCTTAGGATGACCAATGAAGGAGAGACAAAAATTGGCCCAAATGGCAAAGAAAATATTTTCAGTTTCATATGCAAGCTGTAAAAAGACAGCATAAGATAGCACAGAAGCAGAATACATCAACCAAAGGACAGAACTGCCTTACAGGTAAACCAGTCAAAACCAAATAAAAACAATTAAATTTGAGTTGTAGATGTGTTTGGAAAATAAATATGAAAAATTCCTACCATACTATGTCTTTGCAACCTTGATTTTGCTCCCTTGTTCATCTATCCCTTGCCCCAAGAGAGAAGTCTGGGGGAAAAAATACCAGCATGGCATTGCAGACCATCAGCTAAGAGAAAGGCTTGTGCCAACCTAGAGATTAAATGGACAAGTTAATACCTGCTCTCTATGCTCTTAGGTCATGATTTTGCCAACTAAACATTAATCTTTCTTCATGTAGTCTCAGGTCTTGGATAGTTCTTTAAAGAAATAGTAAAATTGGCTGGTTTTGCGAGGTTGTGTCTTCAAAGTTTAACACATTAATCAATCTTTATAAAGGTGTGGGTCAAACCCAACTTCTCAAAAAGGCTATAAAGTTATTTTCTGTAGATCTCTGTAGGGTTTATTTTTCTTTCAAAAACTATTTGGGATTTGATTCATTATCTGCCTGCTGGGATTTCCAGCAAGGTCAAGGCTGTACCTGCAATAACACAAGGTAGGCGATGCATCAACCCCTACCTTCACCATGGCTGCATACAACATTGCCCCAACTCTGCTGATGCTACAGTGCCTACTGGGCCGCTTGGACTCCACACTGAGAAGTCACAACACCATCAGATTTATGCAACAGAAACAGGATCAGAGAAAGGGATTCACCACAGCAGTTTTCACAGCTCTCCCTAAGAAGATTTGCTTGTTGCACATGAACTCATCTCAGAGACATCTGGCAGCAT